ATTGCTGGGTCCAGGGGTAGGTTGATCCCGAATTTCCTGAGAAACCGCCACACTGCTTTCCAAAGTGGTTGCACAAGTTTGCATTCCCACCAGCAATGGATGAGTGTACCCCTTTCTCCACAACCTCTCCAGCAAAGGCTATCATTGGTGTTTTTGATTTTAGCCATTCTGACAGGTGTAAGATGGTATCTCAGAGCTGTTTTGATTTGCATTTCCCTGATTGCTAATGAGGTTGAGCATGACCTTAGGTGTCTTTTGGCCATTTGAACTTCTTCTGTTGAGAATTCTCTGTTCAGCTCGGTGCCCCATTTTTTAATTGGGTTAATTAGCATTTTAAAGTCTAGTTTCTTGAGTTCTCTATATATTTTGGAGATCAGACCTTTGTTGCGGGGGTGATTCTCTAATTTTTTTATTGATTTTATTGAGCTATACATTTTTCCCTGCTCTTCTCCCTCCTCTCCCCTCCCCTTCAACCCTCTCCCATGGTCCCCATGCTCCCAATTTACTCAGGAGATCTTGTATTTTTTTAAATTTCCATGTAGATTAGACACGTATATGTCTCTCTTTGGATCCTCATTGTTGCCTAGGTTCTCTGGGATTGTGATTTGTAGGCTGATTTTCTTTGTTTTATACTTAAAAACCAATTATGAGTGAGTACATATGATAATTATAAGTAATTTGTACTGTTTTGGCAATTTCATGAGTATGCACAATATATTTTAATAATGCTCACACTCAGTCTCTCCAACTCATATGAAACCCCTGCCACATAACCATCCCAACTTCACATCTTTTCCACCTATCTATTATTTTTTGTTTTTTATACTTCGTCTGTTTTCAATTAGACCATCAACATAAGCATTAGTGCAGGGTCATCCACTGCAGCATTAGTAATATACCAGTACCAGGAGCCACATAAGGGAGAAAACTTCCTCTCACCCAGAGACTATTAACTTTAAATAGATCCTCAGCTAGGGAAGTAGCCTGTGAAGTCCTCTCCCATATGTGACTGATTGATTTGATCAGGCAAATTCAGATGTTGTGGGTTCATGAATGGAATGACCCTGTCGTGTTGAGAAGATAGTATTTTGCAGCTTTCTTCCCGAATCTCTGTCTCTTCCACTATTTCTGCATCTAAAGAATCAAATCAGTGACTAAAAGAAAAAGGTCATCAAAGCCCTTCTCACCTATGTAGAGGAACTTGACTGTTTCTAAGAGTTACCTGATTTCTACAAAAGTTATGAGGTAAAATGTTGTTAACATAATTAAAATAATGGAACTGTGCATGGCACGTATGCAAAGAAGGGTTGAATCAGTGATTTCAAAAACATTCTATATGGTAGTTTTATGTGGTAGGTACTATCCTAAAATGTGGGCATTTTGTAGTTTCGTGGTTTGCTATCTTTCAGGATCAGAAGATACTGTTTTACTTTAGTCCCCATTTTCCTCTGACTTTTGCAATTTTTCCACTTCCTGACTCCTCAATAATGGCCCTTGGGCCTTGGCAGTAATTGTATAGATTTCTTTACTCAACAACATGCAATTTATTAATCAATTAAATATATATGGGAAAAGTTATTCTTTCCCATGATCTATCCATTACTCTGCATCCAATCTCTCATTCCATTTGTTTTTGAATAATGGTTTTGTAAACCTGTCACTTAATTAAAGATGGTTTTTATAACTAATTTTCTGGTGGAGTCCTTAGTATAGTTTAAGTATAGGATCATTCCATCCATAAAGAGAGATATTTTGATTTTTTAATACAAAAATAAGTTTAGAGTTGGATAAGCATACATTTTCCCTCAGTAATTTATTCCATGTAATTTTTCAACTCCCTATTTTTTAGCTTTTTTATAAGTAATATATCACAGAGCTTGCATTACCAAAGTGATTCTGTTGCTTATAACACATTAGTTCATAAATCACTTAAAATTACTATACATATGTTGAAGAAAGAGAAACAGCAGTATATTTAAGAAAACTTCTTGCCCCATAAATCATGTGACCAACAACTACAACCCTCCATATTGATTGTGATTTAAGTGTGTGCAACTTATAATGACTTTTCTTTGATAAAACTTAATAAGACACTGGCCATTACTGACGTTATCAGAATGTAGATTAAAGGATTCTGCGAGGAAGTTATGGACATTAATAATAAACCCAAAATCTTGTTACTGGAGAGATTTCTAAATACACTTTGACTGCATGCATGAAATAAACTAGGGATTATCTTCCAAATAATGATCTTTATTTTTCAATTTTAACTAATGCATCAACATAATGAGGATATATGTCATAAATATTGGGCAAAAATTATTGGAAACAAAAATATTTATTTTAACATGATATCACATTTATCTAACAAATTCAAGGAATTAAAAAAAACTTCATCACATTATATAAAGAATCTTGATAAAGTATATAATTTCATGATTTAACTTTCTCACATATTTGTCACAATCACTAGAAAATACATGATATAAAGCATTTTAAAAGTTTAATTAAAATAACAGAAAGTACAAACATCAAAGAAAAATGTGAAACTTGTGGTTGATGACAACAAACTGAGAACAAAACTACTGACAGATTCTAAACACCACAGAAAGGTGGCTTTTCCTGTTCCTGAAACGTTTACTGAGATCAGAATATTAGCTCTTCTCTATACAACCTACACAGTGAACATAGCACCAGCCAATGCTATTCCTATTGCAGGCATGTTGCTTAAATAAAATTATTTGAAAGAATATATTTTATTATATTTCAAAACCTTTTTCACTGGCATCTAATAATAAACTATTAAATTAGAAAAAAAATAAATTCACCAAATTAAACATTCTGGAAAGAGATCCATAGTAGATTAACATAAGATATGCAGGACATGGAATGTTATCAAAGTAGGAAATAATATTAGGACCTAAGCAGAAGAAAACGAACAAAGATTGTAAAAGTCAGAAGCCATGGATGAATTCAAGGAATATTGTTTTTTATACACTTTTGCAGGTATGGATTCACAGAGATTGACAACATACACATTACCTGTACAGATTCAAGTTACATAAAATATCCCAGTACTGAAAAGAGAAGTGTACACAAAGTCCCATACCTAACCAACAAGCTATCTATAGTTGATACCAGCTGGGAGAAAAAAAGGAAAATATTCTTTGAATGGACAGTTATTAGGTGTTGTAACTACACTCCAGGACAGAACTCATGCCCAAGAATAGTTGGCTGACCAACAGAAAATTAATTCCATGAATTTGGTTTTATTGGGTTTGGTGTGTGTGTGTGTGTGGCTCATTTGGTTTGGTTTGGCCTTTTACCTTGTTGGGTTTTCGGTTGTTAATTTAGAAGGTTATTTGAAGTTTGGTTTTGGGAAAGTTGAGAGAGGGAATTCAGAAAGAGAGAGTGGGGAATATATATAATATATATTATAATATAATATAATATGTATATATATATATATATATATATATAGAGAGAGAGAGAGAGAGAGAGAACATGAAGTTGGATGAAAAGACAAGGGCAAAAGAAAGATCTGGGAAGAGATGGAAGAGAAGAAGAACCATGATGAAAATACAATGTATAAAAAAAATTTAAAGAAATTAAAGAAAATGTGACATAAACTGAAATAGGCAATTCATGAGAAATGGTTAAAAATACAACAAAATTATACTACAAGACACTACACTAATTATTAAAAATCACACAAAAAACCAATATTTACAAATTACATTCACAATGCAAATAGTTATTTTATTCTATTGGGACTTAATAGTTTTTGGAAAAGTTTTTCCATAGAATTTTTTATCTCTGCGTTTCTCAAAGTATATATTAATGGATTCAACATGGGAGTGACAATTGTATAAAACACAGTAATAGATTTATCAACAGGGAAACTACAAACTGGTCTAACATACATGAAAATACAGGGAACAAAAAAGAGGAAAACCACAGTGATATGGGAACTACAGGTGAACAGGGCTTTACGCCTCCCTTCCTGACTGTGAATCTTTAGAGATCTTAAAATGATTCCATAGGAAAGAAGAAGGAGGATGAAGATCACTAAACACATAGCCCCATTATTGACAATGGCAGAGAGGCCAATGAAGTAGGTATCAGTGCATGCAAGTAGCAATAGTGGGTATATGTCACAGCCAAAGTGGTCAATGATATTGGGACCACAGAAAGGAAGTTTATACACAGCAAGAACTTGAAACAGAGCATGTACAAACCCTCCTGCCCAGGCTATCACTAAGAAAAGGATACATACTCGTCGATTCATAATAATTATATAATGCAGGGGCTTACAGATGGCCACATAACGATCATAGGCCATTGCCACCAGAATGACAATATCAACACCACCAAATAAATGCTCTATAAAGAGCTGGCTTATGCATTCTGTAAAGGAAATTGTCTTTTTATCACGGAGCAAGTCTACAATCAACTTGGGTGAGATGGCAGTGGAATAAACAGCATCCATGACTGACAAAGAGGCAAGAAAGAAGTACATTGGGGAGCCCAAGGAGGGACTGATAATCACTGTCGTCACAATGAGCAGGTTTCCCACCATTGTCACAATGTAGGTGAGTAAAAACATAACAAATAATGCTTTTTGCCCCACAGGATCCTGAGTGAAGCCCAGCAGGACGAATTCAGTGACATTGTTGTTCTGACCCATTTATACGTCTACAAGGCTTATTTCAGAGAAGGGGCTCAGGAGAACAGGGCTTGCTACAAAGTGTAAACAATACTGTCAATCCATTCTCTCATGATGCAGTAGTTAAACAGTAGTAGACATTAGGAAATAGCTATTGAGCTTCTTCTTGAAACAAATTCCTTTCAGTTTCTCTTAATAAATCTTTAATTACTGGTTTATCTCAACATCAATGACTCCAGACAGAGTCATCTCTGTCCCCCATACCTTTAAATGTAGTTATTTAAAACACATTACACCTTGGCATTGATAGTAGCAAATCAACAGAAAAAAAAGATCTCCCCGTTGAGAATCTTGAGAAATGATTGTGGCATTAAATGCAAGTATATCAAGTAAAACAAAGCAATACTTTGAGCTGGTAACACCTGTGGATAATATTTTTTTAAATGAACGTGTGCAGTACCCACAATAGCACTTCTCATCGAGGATCCAAGTCAGTGCCATTATATTGCACTATCAGGCTTAGATACTATACCTCACAAGATAAATATAGTCATCATATATCTCACTTAATCAAAAAAATAAGGAGACTCAGAACGGCACCAAATATTTCCAATATTGTTAGGAAATACTTGAGACAGAGCAGTGAGGAAAGCTGTGGACCCTGAAGCCACACCTGGTTACAGCACGAGGTTCACTCAATTTGTGACATCCTGATCTTGTCCGTCTTAGTAAGTCTCCTATGCTTCTGTTTCAACATTTGTACCACAGAGATTTTCATAATATCCATCTCCTAGAATGTCTGTTGGTGTTCTTATGAAACACCTAAACACTGCTCAGAACATCAGACAACTCACTGCTGGCTGTGATCACTATTCTAGGATGGTTCACTGTGAGCATCAGCTGAGAAGAAGTCATGAAAATTTCTGTCCACTTAACAGGAAGGTAGACATAGTCTGGGTTAGAAAAACCAGCACATGTGTGTCTCATGAACCATTTTCTGGACTTGGATTAAAATCATTCATCTTAGGAATAATTTGTTCTATTATATGTGCTATTATTATCAATATTTACCTGTGAAGAAATATAATTGAACTAATAGCAATCAAGAAAATTTCTTGTCCAAGCACTTGGTACCAGAGGACATGTGCAGAGTCAGGATGGCTGTACACGCAGTTGGGATGCACCTTATACATGTCTCCTTCACATTTATGCTGCCATCCGAGTCAAAACATCTGTCCTTGTCATTCTTAAAGTTCCCAACTGCCATAGGCATGCCTGTCACAGAACACAGGGTTATCACATAACTTAGGTTCAATTGTGTCTTCTACATTGTACTTCTACACATTCAGTTGCTTCAGTATTGATTAGCATTGGTTTTCACCACACCAAACCTTCTAGAACCTTAAGTGTTTATATAATAGAGAAAAACAGAGCGCAGAGGCTACATAATACTAGACTTCCATATAATGTACATTATCAAAGGGTTAATTCTATAAACACTGAAGAATAGTGTGACTGCTTTCATTTAGAACTACTGTTAACACATTTCTTGAAAACTAATTGAATAATCCATCATTAAGAACATGACATTTTTGGAAAATAGTCTTATATTTTAAAAATTACTTTGCCTAGCACTGAGGTTTTGTCATCCATATAGAGGATAAAGTTATATCACTTGATAAAACACAGACACAAGTGAAAATAAACATATTAATCAATTCAGTATCAAAAGATACAATATTACATTTTCTCTCAGTTTGAGTTTTACATTTTCAGTAATTATTAAAAATCCTAAACTCAGAGAAGACATAAGAATGAAAATAAAAATATACCATGCAACCTCCTCACACAAACCTAAGTAGCCTGTTACACTTATAGCAAATAGACTTGTATTCTATTATTAATTTCTTTGTGTAGCATCTTAATTTTCCCAATTTAGTTACTTTCTATGATACTATATGACTTAAAATATTAGTTGCATTTTAGTGTATCACAAGAATCTTTAATTTGTATTCTGTTTTATCATCCCATGTACTCACAACACAGTTCTTATTTTGTTCTATAAAATTCAAAGGTTCTTTTGCTGTTAGGGCAGCAATTATTTTATGTACCTATGTGACTTCACAGAGCACATGACAATATATCCACATTCAATATATAAGGAAAGAACCCCAATAGCCTTCAGAAAACAAACTTCCACAAAACTTTCTACTATCTTATTTTCAGATAAATGTAAGAATATCCAAGCTAAATTTAAATATACTATATATTGTCAAAAGTTAGTCTCATAGGTAAGTGGATACTGTCACATTCTAAGCAAACTTCTTTATAAAAATACAAAGATAAATTGTTTGCATGTGCATTAAATGCCCACCTAATAAATAGAAATTGTTAGCCCCTTTTATATGGTCATATTATTTAAAAATTAACAACCCTAAAATTAATTATATGAATTATTCCTTTTTTGTATTAAAGACACTCAAAAGGTCTTGAACTTATGAAGTATAAATGCATCCATGTGTCTCACAAAAAAAAAGCCAGGAATAGAGCAGGAATAAATAGAGGTTTAAATTGCTGAAGTATTAATGGTAAAAATTTCTCATGACGACATCCAGAAGTCTTCTGTCACTATCACTCAGATAAAATTTCTGTACTTCCTTAATAAAAACATTCCTCTGCATGTAGAAGACTCCAGGAAATTGAGATCATCCATAGATAGTTATAATGATGAAAAAAGCATAATGATCAAATACATCAAGGGTTAAATACAAGAGGCTTCCTGGATCTTTTGACCAGAAAAATATTTTTTCCATTTATATTCACAATACTGTCTATAACTTTTCTTTGCACCATCACTATTTATTTATTTTTTTAATAAACAAGCTTGTTTAGATAATTGGAACTAATTCAAATGAAATCATCTTATTTGAAAAGACTGCTAGCAATAAAAGCATTACATTTTGACAAAATGAGTGACTAATTTGAAAATTCTATATGAAAATAAATGTCCAGGTATATTTAAGAAGATACTATGAGCTAAGATTGAAGAAATATTTAAGTAATGCAAATAATATCTAAGACACACTTGAAGAGGAAGGAACTTAGTCCCCATTCATAACATCACCCTAGCAAACCATAGTCCTGCACCGATGGTCAGAGAGAATCTGCACAGCTGCATTTTTGTTGCATAGTTGAAAATGTAGTCTGTGAAGTTGCAACTTCTGGTCTAATATTGGCAGAGAATGTTCCTACTGTTTCATAGGTATGGAAACGTTTGATGGAGGCATTAATTTATGAGATAGGACTATACTGACTTTCATTTTGTTTATTCAATTCTTTAATTACTATATTATATTAATTTAATAACTCCACTAAAATAGTATTTTTTTAAAAAATTAACAATGATTATTAGCTTTCTTTGTTCTTGAGCTTGTTATTTAGTCATCGGGGAGTAGATGCTCCCATGTGCTTACTTCCAACTTTGCTCTTCTTGGTCACAAAGGAATGGATAATACGTCACCACAATAGGTGATAGATTCCACTAAAATGAAAAAATTTTAATTTGTGTAATGAGTTAGATAAATTCAGCAACTTCTAATGCATTATTTGCAAGATAAAGAGCGTGTCTAATCAAGATGCTTTCTCTGTTAGTAAATGAAAGAAAAAGTCAGTGAGCATACATTTCTGAGGTTAAAATTATCACTCAAAGATGGAGAATTGAAATATATGTAGACATAATGGTCTATATCCTTTCCATCTCAATATAAACACCTACCAAAGCTTCTCACTCAGTTTTTCATCTTAGACTCAACTGCATGTAAGAAAAAATTAATGGGATATGATCACGACACTGAATAATGACTGATTTCCATTCATAACGTACCATCAAGTAACCTCAAACACACTTGAAAAGAGAATAGCACAGTGTCAAACTCCCTTTATATCAGTTTCTTTGTGAGGTATACGTATCTGAGTGAATATATAAAATAAAGAAACACTTAGATATGACATCAACACTTACTGTAAAAGTTGTATAGTCTCATTTTCAGGGAAAATATTCTCAGAGAAAAACAAATAATCTGTGTTTCTATAAGTATGTAAACAATGAATAGAATGAAGGGAAACTTATTCGCCCAACATAATTATTTGCTGGTGCAAGAATGGTGATCTCCAATTATTTTCAGGTCACTGAAGTGAAGCACTCCATAGTGGCCATGTCTCAAGGAAATATAATAGGCTTGACATCTATAGCACAAATTCTAATTGTTCTTAGTAAAAACTCAGAGTAAGATACTAGGGGGTAAATGTTGAAAGATCAGAAAATCAGTACAGCCAGCCACTACAAAGATATTTTACCTCTACCGAATCCATAGACCCAAAGGCTGATTTTGTCCTCAGACTGCATCCTCTTACTAACTGCAAGACTCCATCCTTTCTTGTCGCCTCCCAACTCATATCCCTTTCTCTGCCTAGCCTTCCTGTGTCTACCTCCATAGTGCTGGGATAAAAGGCATGCGACCTTTATGTACTGGGATTAAGAGTATGGGCCAACACCACTTGACTCTTTTATACTAGGGTAGCCATGAACTTAAAGAGATCTATCTGACTCTAAAGGAGTGTGCTACCACTGCCTTGGTGGGGGAGGGTTGTCTGTATTCTGTCAAACATATTTTAAATACACACTGATTGGCCAGGCAGGAAGCATAAGCAGGTCAACCAGACAGGAAGTAGAGGCGGGGCCATGAGAACAGGAGAATTCTAGAAAGGAGGAAGCCCATTCCTCCCAATCTAGCCCAGACTACTAAAGAAGCAAGATGTAACCTGCCTGGATGAGAAAAGGTATCGAGTCATGTGGCTAACATAGATAAGAATAATAGGTTAATATACATTAAAGGAACTAATATGAAGCCTGAGCTAATGGGCCAATCAGTTTATAACCTAATGTAGGCTCACTGTGTGATTTTCTTTGGGAATTGAGGGCTGTGGGAACCGGGCAGGACAAAAATCCCCACAGCTGGTCCTCATGTTAGACTGCCTGGCCTCTGCACTCTGATCTTTAAGCAAGTTTTATTTGTTAAAACACAAAGTATAACTTTAGACATATCTCATAAATATAGTAGTACCTAACAATACACAGGTAGAGATTTAAGTTTTGAAACACTGGTGATGAGGAATTTCGATGAGTAAAGGAAATGTTCTATTTTTAACAACTTCGAAGTAGAATATCACCAAGGAATCTTTCTTCCTGTTTAGAAACATGTCCTTGAATGTACAAGGTCCAGGAAAACCATAACACTCTACAAATTTCATGATCAAAGAAAAACATTACAAGAGAACGAATCAAAGATAAAATGTCAAATGAAAGCATACACAAACTTGGTAGTCTTTGAGTTGTCAAAGGTCTTCAGATAATTTAATTAGTAAAATAGTTCTTTCATTTATCCTAGCTGTGTAGTCACATCTATCGTAGAAGATAAGCTAGTTAGAATATTTGGAACAAATTCAAATGAAACAATGTCTCTTGAATAGGCATCTTCATTTCTGTAGTCCCTGGGGTCAAGAGCCTCAGATCTTGCCAACAATGAGTAGCTGACTCCCAAGATGATTTGGAAAACACATACTATGAAAAGAAAATTTCCAAAGTGTAACATATAGAAACTATGCTCATCTTGATGCATTTGCATAAGACAAGCAATGATTAAAACAGCATGAAATGGCAGCAGCCTTCTTCCCCGAATTAAGAACACCACAGCTAAGTAAGTTCTCAATCAGTTTTAAAAGCTTTGAGGTACAGAAGAATAATGAGGAAATATGTTATAAATAATGGGAAGAAATTGTTGGAAACAAAAGTACTTATTTCAATGTGATATCACTTTTATCTTGCCAATTCAAGGAATTAACAGAAATTTCAAATTGTTATATAAAGATTCTTGATAAAGTGTCTAAATTCATGCTTTAACTTCCTTACATATTTGTCACTATCACTAAAAATAGCAAGATAGAAATCAATTTAAAGGTTTAATTAAAATAACACAAATTATAAAATCTCAAGGGAAAAATGAAAAACTTCTGAATG